TAACCTCGTATATTCCATTACTGATTTAATGCGTAACATCTGGCCACACGAGCGCATTCCGTCATCCTTGAGCGAACCACTGATTGTTCCAATTTCTAAGAAGGGATCTTGGAATGATTGCGCAAACCACTGTGGAATAAGTTTGATCCCAATCGTCACCAAGTTACTAGCCTCCATTACACTTTGACGTCTGACACCGTATAGGTAGACAAACATCCGCGAACAACAAGCAGGATTTCGACCAGGTCGCGGTTGTATCGACCAAATCTTCACTCTGCTTCAAGTCCTCGATCTACGTCATACGCACCGTCGACCAACGGTTGTCGTGTTCCTTGACCTAAAAGGGGCCTTCGACTCATTTGATCGCGAATTCCTTATGGGTTCACTTCTTCGCAAAGGAATGCCGCAGAAGTATGTGGACATACTGAGTTCACTCTACTCACATACCTCTGATAGCGTAATGGTCTACGGCTAGCTGAGTAGGTCGTTCGTAACTAGCAGCGGTGTTTGTCAAGGGTGCCCTATTTCGCCATTCCTGTTCAATTTCGTCATAGATGAAATACTGGAGAACGCACCGTGTGGTCTCCAAAATGTAGGTTTTAAGTGGGCAGCTGAAGAGAAGCTGTGCGATGTGGATTACGCTGACGACATCGTTTGCTTGTTCGAATGTATGAATGATGCACAAAGAGCACTTGACAAGTTAGCATGTTTTGTCGCTCCGTTCGGCATGTGCTTTGCACCTTCAAAGTTCAAAGTGAAGCTACAAGACTGGGTGTCACCGAGTTCTGTTCTAAAACTAGACGGTCAGGAATTAGCTGTAGTTGACTGCTTCTCTTAGGTAACTGCGTGACCAACGACGGTGGCGCATCAAAGGAAATAACCGTCCGCATTTTCAAGGCTCAAGCAGCGTACGCAGGACTAAAATACCTGTGGCGGCGACGTGACGTTTCATTGAAGTTGAAAAGTCGCATATACTGCGCCACTGTACGATCAGTTCTACTTTACGGTTGTGAGACTTTGAATTTGCGGGTAGAAGACNAATAGGCCCAATCCCTGTCCTCCTTACACATTCTCATTTATCTTGTATGCNTAAAACTAGAAGGTCAGGAATTAGCTGAAGTTGACTGTTTCTCGTACTTAGGTAGCTGCGTGACCAACGACGGTAGCGCATCGAAGAAGATAACCGCCCGCATTTTCAAGGCTCGAGTAGCGTACGCAGGACTAAAACACGTTTGGCGTAGACGTGGCGTGTCACTAAAGTTGAAAAGTCGCGAATACTGCGCCACTGTACGATCAGTTCTGCTTTACGGTTGAGACCTTGAATTAGCGGATAGAAGATATCCGTCGTTTAGCAGTGTTCGACAATCGATGCTTACGTAGTCTGGCCCAAGTGGGATGGAGTGAGCGGGTTAGTAACTTAGAAGTAAGTCGTTGGGTGTTTGGGAATACATCAGACAAGAACTCGCTATCTCATCGAATCCAGCTCAGTATGCTCCGTTAGTTAAGACACGTTTTGCGTACGTCCAACGGTCGCCTGCCGCAGCGAGCTTTGTTTGCAGTGACTGATGCAGGCTGGAGAAGACCACGTGGTGGCCAGCAGATGACGTGGAGACGAGGCATGAAGAAATGCACAGAGCGATTAGGTAGGGTAGTTATCTCTCATCTTCCGGGTTGGGGTCCAAAAGACTCCGAAACCGCATGGTTGGAGACACNTTGCGGGTAGAAGACACCCGTCGTTTAGCAGTGTTCGACAATCGATGCTTACGTAGTCTGGCCCAAGTGGGATGGAATGAGTGGGTTAGTAACTTAGAAGTAAGTCGTCGGGTGTTTGGGAATACATCAGACAAGAACTCGCTATCTCATCGAATCTAGCTCAGTATGCTCCGTTGGTTAGGACACGTTGCGTATGTCCGACGGTCGCCTAGCGCAGCGCACCTTATTTGCAGTGGTTTTGACAGGCTGGAGAAAGCCACGTGGAGGCCAGCAGATTACGTGGGGACGTGGCATGAAGAAATGCACAGAACGATTAGGTAGAGTAGGCGTCTCTCATCTTACGGGTTGGGGTCCAGAAGACTCCGAGACCGCATGGTTGGAGACATTAAAGGTCATGGTTGTGAACCGACAGCAATGACGAGCTTGCTGTCACTTCTTATCAGACGAGAATGCTTGAAATAGTATGCATGCACAGTTGAACTGTGTACTCTGTGTGTTAACCATAGAGGTTCGCTTGCTTTTTCCGTCCGTAAAAATGGATCCAATCCCTGTCCTCCTTACACATTCCCACTAAACTTGTATGCATTATGAGTTTGGCAGCGATCAGTGGAGTTCACTTTACGGTATTACGCTGTACAATGATGATGATTGCTATTGTGATCGATATTGGTAGTGGCCTGACAGATTGTGGGGTAAGATAGAGAACACTGGAAAGTAACAACATCTGCAAAGCAGTGAATGGATTTAGAGGTTTTGGACAAAAGATCGTTGATAGATGGAAAAAAGGTGGGAGAAAGTATGGAATCTTGATGAACACCGGCGTTCACGGAATGGCCGGGATGAGACCCCCTCGACTCGGACGGAAATGGTTTACTTGCTGAGAAAACATCGGCGCCACGATAAGAGAGACGGATGAAATGCGAATGTAAGTCATTTTGACAGTAGACCTTCGTGCCGAACGCCGTCGAAGGCCTTTTAAATGTCCAGCGAGACCATACGCGCTTCTCCTCGGTTATCCAGTGCAGCTGGTCAAGAATAAGATGTGATAGCCAGTAGGTCACCCGTAGATCAAGGAGGGCGAAAACCAAATTGACGGTCATTCTACCAAACTTTGCATTCAAGAAACGTACGCAGGAGGTCGGAGGTAATGGTTTCAGACACTACTCTAAAAGGGTGATGGGATGATAGTTGTTGGGTTCGGAAGTGTCACCACGCTTTGAAAGAGGAAAAGCAATGACAATACTCCCAGTTTTACCATGCCTCATTGTCACTGGTTTGATAAACAAACAAACGAAGAACCATAGCGACCCGTTCACATTAATTTGTGGTAAATAGATAACTACAAGTTAGCCGTTAAGAAGAATAAAAGAAATGTTAACATCTCGCGACATGTCTTCTTTCTGTATTGCTAAGGTGGATAAAGGGGACTCAAATTAAAATTAATTTTTCGAAAATTAAACAGCCATTCAAAGGTGCGCTATTGCGCAGTACACAGAGGTGAGAATTTTAGGCAGAGGTAGAAGTGGCAGGATTCTAACGCTACCCTTCTGGTAATGGGATGGTGAAATACACCACCTAGTCTTATCTGATCACATCCTTTCATCAAAGCGAGCGTAATCTTGATCTAAAAATATAAACAGGTAAATATTTGATGCAAAACGAACGTGAGACTTGGTTGTTATTACTGCTTGTTTATGATTATTTTTATGAGCAAGTATTGTGGTATGTAATAAGCCATCTAAATCCGACACTTATTGATTGGTATTTTGGCATCAGACACGGTTTACGCAGCGTTTGTTTTGTGATACTACTATAGCGCTTTAGATAATCGCATTCCATTGAAAAAATCTTTTACAGTCGTTCAGGCTGGTCGCTTGCTCGGTATTCCGGATGGTGAGGTGGCTGACGAATTCGCTCGTCAACTGTTCACACGATGTGTTCAGGCTGGTTCCGGTTCCAGCGTACATCGTACTCGTCGACTCACCGAATACTTCGCTACCTGTTCAGTATCCCAAGCAAGAGAACAACGTGATTGTCTCATCAAGGCCTTGTACAGCAGGTATTCTTTTCGTTTTTACCTCATGATTTGGAACTCATACGAGGCTACTCAACACCCAGCTGAGTCCTAGGTTTAACTCAAACGCGATCCCGTTGAATTTTGATATCCATTGATCACTGTTGGGGTGTAGCTTATGCTCGTTTCTGGAAACAGCACATCGTGGTTACTTCTTTTATCAGATAATTTTCACCTTTTAATAAAGTTTTTGTTCACTCTCCATCCATCTTTCAGTTTATTTGATTTTCTGGTACAAAACATCAATGAACAATTGAACCCCGGCTCTCTGCGCAACGCGCGACGGGAATTTGGTGAGTCGCTCGTGTTCTGTTTGCTCTTTTTGTGGCCTATCAAGAAGGTTTTTCGTCGACCGGTTAATTACAATACATTCCTCTGTCTTGAAAATAATGTGGAACGATTGTATCTCGGGATGTGGACGTTGTTGATGGTGTGTTCTCCGAGCCGGAAGTGTTGTTTACGGACGTTTCGCAGCTAGGCTAAGCAACATCATCAGTGCAACTTGGGAGCCTGGTGGCAACTGGAACATCAGATGATCAATGACGATGTTAGCCTTCTAAAAGAAGTAATCGCTATACACCGCCTCCGATGACTTTGTCACGTTTTGCTCATGCCTGTCCATCGTCTACCCTTCCGTGCTCTTCTTGCACATGATGGACAAGGCTGGAAGAAATATCTCGGCGGTCAGATCATGGCGTAGAGGTATGAAGAAGATGGCCTCAGCTTTGGCTTCGGTTGGTGCAGCCCGCCTTCGAGGTTGGGACCCAAGGGGTAAGGATTGTCGTTCGTTAGAGCCGTTGAGAGATATGGCCCAGAATCATCATCATCATCATCATCATCATCGTACAGCGAGATACAGTGAAGCGAGCTTCACTGATCTCTGCCAAGCTCACAATGTACACAAATCAAGTGATAAAGCACAAGATGGAGAGGGATTGGGCCTACTTCGAGGGAGGCAAAGAAAAAGAACCTCTATGTTCAACACACAGAGCACACAATCTAAGTGTTCATGCATACCTTTTTTCAAGCATTCTGCCTTGTTAAGAAATGACAACAAGAGCGCCATTGCTGTCGGTTAGTCGCCGTATCCTTTAATGTCTCCAGCCTACCAGTTGTAGTGTCTTTCGGACCCCAACCTGGAAGACGGGAGACACCGATTCTACCTAATCGCTCTGTTCATTTCTTCATGCCTCGTTTCCACGTCATCTGTTGACCTCCAAGCGGTTTTTTCTAACATGGGGCAGTGACTGCGAATAAGGCGCGGTGCGATAGACGATGGCTGGGCATGCGCAATACGTGTCCTAACCAGCGAGCCGACTAATCTGAATTCGATGGGACAACGAATTC